GAAAGCCACTATAGCCTGTCCCCTTTCCCTGCTTCTATCCTTGATGGTTGCCAACCTCCAGGCAGGGCCTGGAGATCTCCTGGAAACACAACCGATCTCCCATCTACAGAGATCAGTTCCCCTTAGGGATGCCAGCCTCCAGGTTGGGAAGTTTCTGGAGATTTGGGGAGGGGGGGTGGAGCCTTGGGAAGGCCAGGTATGGGCAGGGAATCAATCGCAGCAGGATATAATGCCCTAGAGTCCACTATGGAGAAAGGCATAAATGAAGTTAATAAATAACCCCCAAAAAGCTGAAGATGGTCCTGGTCACACAGGAGGATTTGCCCCGCAAGAGGGACGGATCGGGGGCACATCAAGCGGGCACGATCTCACCGCAACATCTGGGAAGCGGAACATCTATACGCACAACAACCCTGTGAAGTAAATTTGGCTGAAAGTAAGTGACTAGTTCAAAGTCACCCACTGAGCTTCTGCAGCAAGATGGGGATTCGAACCTGGGTATCCCAGACCCTATTCTGAAGCTCTAACTACTATATCACACTGGCTTTCATAGGGTGGCTGCTGATGAACAGTAGCAGAAAAACAAATAGATGGGATCACAGTGTAAATTACATACTAAATACAAGGAACAATCACTTTGGTATATAGGCTACTATACTTTTGATGAAACTACATCTGAATTTCACAATTACCATTAACACAGAGAAATAGTAATAACAACCCTTAAAATAATCTTATATCACCATTTTCAACTGGGTTCCTGCATACGTATTATTATAAAACAATATAAAATAAGACGAATAACTAGTTGCAGACTTGTTTCGTGTTGCAACTTCTTCAGAAGTTTTCATTCTTCATTCAGTATTTTCCTCTTGTTGCTCTGTGGTTATCTCCCTATTGTAGCAATTCAGTTTTACATAAGGAGCAAGCCAGTCCCTTTTGTTAGGCAAGGACAAAAATGTCTGTTCTATTGCTGGCAAAATGCTCTCCCAAAGTGGAAGCAACTGAGCTTTCATGAAGGAACCTCCTACAGTTGCAATTAAACTTTTTTATTAGGAGCAAGCCAGTCCCATTCCCTTGGACTGCAAGAAGATCAAATCAGTCAATTCTAAAAGAAATCAACCCTGACTCTTCCCTGGAAGGCCAGATAATGAAACTGAAGCTCAAATACTTTGCCCACCAAATGAGAAGGGAGCACTCACTGGAGAAGACCCTGATGCTGGGAAAGATTGAAGGTCAAAGAAGACGGGGACGGCAAAGGATGAGATGGTTAGACAGTGTCATAGATGCAACGAACATGAAATTGAGCGAACTTCAGAGGACGGCAGAAGACAGGAGGGCCTGGCGGGATCTGGTCCATGGGGTCGCGAAGAGTCGGACTCGACTGTGTGACTGAACAACAACAACAACAAGAAGAAGCCCCATTTCTTATGCAGGTACCAAACCGAGCATGCTTTGCCAGCCATAGAACAAAAGGTTTTGTTACTGCTTAAGAAATTGCACAGGTATGCTCTTTATAAAAATTATATAAACAGTTTCCATCATGATGACTCAGGTGCTTGTATCTTTGGAGAGTGTTGTGCCAGCTATGGATGCATGCTATTCTTAGGGGACATGACTTCCTTCCTTATGGCTTAACACTTCTCTCTCCCACACACACAAAGCAGCAGCACACTCTCCATCTTTGGCAGTATGGATGCAGGACGCACAAGCTTTAATCAGCATCCATCCTAGCAAGTTTAGGTTATATCCTATCCCTACCTCTCACCCATACTATCTAGAGCGGAGTTCCCTAAATAAAGGACACTTATCAGTTTGAAACTGACAAGTGGCTCCGTGTAACTTTGTAGCTTTGCTAGCACACACAGTACGGAGATGCTGCTGCTGTGTGTAAGCCTAGTGCGCCCTGCTATCTAATAGAGAATCATGGCTATACCATACCAGTGAATCTAACAAATCTGCTGATCTCTGAGGACTGAACCATTATTAAAGAGACGAGAGCACGCTGGGTAGTTTCCCTGCTCAAGTGGCAACCTTATTCGGACCTCAGCAGAGTCGATAATATCCTCCAACATTTTGCAGATGAAAAAAGGGCCACGTAGGGTTACCAAGTACTTACCGCGATTCGGCGGGGGACACATGATCCCTGGCCGGAATATTCCTCCCTGTAACGCACCATGCCGTTGCCAGGAAGTGATGCCGGATGACGCTTTGACAATGGGACTGGAAACTCGATGGTACCATCGAGTTTCCAGCCCAACTGCTACAGCGTCACCTGGCTACGTGCCTACGTCATGTCTGGGCGACAGAATATTGCAGCGCCTGTGTTTTCCCTGTGGGAATGGTCCCGCGAAGAACTATACATCCCCCGCCAAATTAAGGTAAGTACTTGGGAGCCCTGCAGGTGGCCCAGTTCAAAATCAAGAGTATTGCTCAAAAATCCATGCTGATTTGAACCTCTTCTTTCTGGTATCTTCCCACCCCCCTCAGCACTGCAGTACTAAACTTGGATGAATCAGTAATAGTAAAGTTGCTCACCTCCATTGATCCTCCTTAGCAATGTGTTGTCTGAGAAGTGCGGGCATGCTTTTGGAAGTGACAATATGAGCAGGGGTGGACAGGGAACCTCGATTCCTGAGCACCAGTTCCCCAGTTTTAGGCATCAGTCCTCTCTTCCTCTTCTTCCCATAGGGTATAATCCTGAGAAAACTTTTCTTGGAATAGACCCCACTGAACAGACCTGAGCAGGATTCTGAGTAGAGCTGCATAGGACTGCTCTGTTTGCCTGGTTAACTCCTCTCTACCAAAAGGGTAAACCCACCAAGTGGATTAACACCACCTGACTCCTGACAGTAGATACAAATGCACTTAGGGCTTAGCTTTGGTTTTAACTAGGTGGGCTGGAGGACACTGGGAGAAAGCATGAGTTCTAGAGCAATTTGGCTATTTGCTGTTACGTTATTAGATTTTACCTACTTGAGCTGTTTTGCTTGACACACATCCCAAGTTTCCTCCTGCTTCCATGTTTTGAAATGGCTTTGGTATTCACTTGTATTTATCAATCAGCCTTAGCCTTTTCCATCTTTATTAATAATGTCTCCATAATACTTCTACTCATCTTTCTGTACTTATCTAGCCATTCTGTAATTATCCAGCCATTTCATTTATGAAACTGTTTGCTAATTTGTCCTTATTTTGGCTTATTTGCTTAATCATTTCATTCATCTGTTTTGCATATTTGGTATGGGCAGACATTTCATTTAATGGCTTACTTCAATAAACCAGTATAATTCATTGTAGTCCATTGTAGTTGAATTCTTTACTCTCTGTCTTCTTATTGGTCAACCACTAGGTGATAAAGGACACAGATTTATGCCAGCCATGAAATAAGATTAGATGGGGGTTCACCCAATGCTCTAAAACACACACACTCATTCCTTTGCGCACTCTCATGTTGCACTTGGTCACAAAGACCCAATCTGGAGTTTCTACCATTGCTGCAAAGGTCTTGTTTGCAACTGATAGGTAGGAATGTGCATTCAGCTTGGCTGAGCCAATTAAAAACCCGAGTAATGCCTATACAGCATCATACAGGATGGCCGATTACCAAATCATATTCTTTTATCTGATTCGGCTGGCAGATTAGAGCATCGCCTCATATTCAGGGATCCCAAAGACCAGGGGTCATTTCATGCAGGAACGCACAGGAGCGGAGCTCTGGCAGTAAAGAGCCCAGGGGGCGGGCACATGCAACAAGCCCCACCCCCGGCTCCCAGCAGCCCTCAGTCAGAGCAAGAAGCAGCCAGGTAAGCTGCAGAGCCCCCCCGCCCCCGCCCCAAAACAGTCCAGTAGCAGGTTTAAGACCAAGTTTTATTCAGGTACAAGCTCTTCCTCCTCTGCGAGGACAGATCTGCACGTTCCCCCCCCCTATAGGTAGCCATCCAGAACAGTCCAGTGGAGCCTGAGTGGTGGGTGTTGCCTTCTGACACACTTCTGGTGACGTCAGGGGGCGTGGCATATGCAAATCAGTTATGCTAATGAGTTATGCTAATGAGCTCCTGCACCTCTTTTTCTACGAAATGACCCCTGCCAAAGAGGGAGAGGGAAAGGATCTCAGGCACTTCTGCCTCACAGAGGGGCCAGCGCAGCAGCCCCTCTATCTGGAAGAAGTGCCCGAGATTCATTCCTTTCCCTCTCTCCCTTCCGTTCGCCTTGCTCCAAGTAGGGGGAGAGGGAAGAAAAGGGGAGGGGAGAACAAGGGAACCCAGGAGGTGCTTCTGCCTGACAGAGGGGCCAGCCCTGGCCCTGCTGCCAGGCAGAAATGTCCGAAGGGAGTTTGCTACCTCTGTGGAGTGACTCCAAAGACTGAGGGGGTTTATAATTTAACCCCCCCCTCTCTGGAGTCATGCTGCAGCGGCGGCATGCTCTCTTCATTGCCCCTCCCCCGGTGACTGTGGGGGATCATTATAAGCTATGGGGACAGTTTTCTCACACAGTCAGTTTTCTCACACAACTAGATTGTTCTTTAGAAGAATGCGGGGATGGGAGCATCGAGACATTAAGCCACGTAATTTTTGATTGTAAAATCTATAAGCAGATTCGGGAGTCCTTGGTAGCACCAGTAATTACTAGCTTCCCAGGGAAAG